CTCTCACTGAGGACCTCAGCTATGAACTATAGGAGAGACACCAAATCCAGGCCATCTGGGAAGTTGAAGTTACTGAGTGGTGATCACACTGTCCACTGTCGTTTCCCCCACTCCCCGCTTTCTACATACAGAGAGCTTCCCACCTTTGATTGTGTATGGGTCACTCAGCCATACCCTAGGTTATGGTCACTGTCATATGGTGGCCCTACCACATTCCACCCTATTCTCTGAGTTTGTTTTTCATGCTTTTGCCCAATGCTCTCAGCTGCTGCTACACCAGGTGCCCACGCAAGTATCCCTTGCCCCTCAGTTCTTACCCTGGTGTTTGGCTTTTCTACACCTTCTCCTGACCTAGGCAGAACTATCTGACTCCCAGTTCACAGGCAACTGCTGATATACATCAGCTATTTCAGATAAGAAATCATGATGTGCAGCCTACCTAGGTTAGACACATAGCTGGCTCGGTAGTCTTTTTTTTTTTTAACCCTGAATTTTCCAGACAGGGTTTCTCTGTGTAGCCCTGGCTGGCCTGAAACTCACTCTGTAGACCAGGCTGGCGTTGAACTCAGAGACACACCTGCCTCTGCCTCCTGAATGCTGGGATTAAAGGCGTGCGCCACCACTGCACAGCAATAGCTTGGTATTCTATCATATGTTTCTTTGTTCAGGCCTCTATGGTTATTTGCTTAACAACCTGGGTCCACTTGCATGCCAAGCTGTCATTTCCATGTATGAATTTTGATGTAGCTGAACCTCTCCTAAGGCCACCCCTTCTCTCCTGAGAGCTGCCTCAAGAGTCAAGGGCCCACTGGTGGGGTCACTACAGCTTGCTTCCCCTTGGGCTGTGATCTTCCAGGTACCACACACAACTTCCTATACTTCTGTGCCCCATATTTACATATCTTAGATTATACATTGACCAGTCTGCCTGGATTTGAATCTGAGCTATGGACTTGAGGGAGGCCCTTGGCTCCAGCCAAGCCAGCTGTGACTCTCTTCCTCCCACTTTTCTCTGACTCACAGATAGCAAACCTGCTAGAAAATTAGGTTAGGAGGGGCTAGGTGAAGGTTGCCGAGTTGAAGCCTCTAGGCTGTTTCATGTCGTAATTGCAGGTTACTCACTGCAGTTGCTAAATGTTAAATTACAAGCGTTGGCTCTGTGTGCATCATTTGACCACAATTATGATAATTATGTCCTTGCCAGAGGTCAGCAGAGTGACCTCAGAGGGGGAATACTGGGGTGACAGATCACTTGGGGGCTGGGACTGAGCAGGGTAGTGGGATAGGTGTTCTCATTTGAACACCAAAGGGCACAGCAGGGCCATGGCTGACTGACCTAAAAATTTTCAAATGTTGAAAGAAAACACAATTTTTCCTAGCTATTTCTTTAGTGATAGTCATTTTTAGACTAACAAAATAGTCATCGATATACAATGGAAACCTCAAGATTAGGCAAAACCCATCACTGTCTCCAGTCTGTTAAGTTGTGTCTATAGAACAAAGTCCCTGCTATGGGGAAACAGAGACTTCCCACTAATGTGCCTTCCATTAAAGGAGAGATACCTGAATTTTGTCCCCAAGAGCTTCGGATGACCAGCTCCCAGGCAAAGATGAGGTGTTATATGCTGACATTGGGAACACTGTCTCACTCTGGGAATTAGAGCTATCCTACTTTGGAAGTAACTGAGGTTCAAAACTGGGCCCCAATACCATAAACTGTGGAAACCATAATGTGGCATTGGTATCTAAACCACATAGTCTATCAGTCACAAGGGTCTATCTATGTGCATGCTAAAGTTTAAAAAGGTTGAGAGGTATCCAGTCTCACTTAGCTAGGCCCCAGAATCTCCTCTCTATTGCTGGGTCCCATGAAATGTGCTAGCCCACATTTTATGGCAGAAAATCTCTGGGGCCACACATACATAGCTGATCCTGTACTTGTTACCCTGGTCCTCAGATTTGCGAGGTCACATGCTTTCTTAGTCTCACATCTGACTACCTATAGATGCTCCATCCAGGAGCACTTTAAACTTTTATCGTAGATATTTGCACCAAACTCTGTACTAATGCTGTAAGGACCACTATGGGTCATTCCCTCCCCACCCCATAGTAGGGCAGGAGGGAGATGCTGAAGCCCTTTGTGGGTTTAGTCTATAAAGTGTTACTTGAGAAGTAGTCCCTTCTCACTTATCATGGAATAATACATTCCAGGCTCTTTCCTTACAGAACTTCCCAAAGGGACCCTGGAAAATCTCAGAGAGACTAACCCTAACCTGCAGGAACTAGGCATGGAAGGAGGCAGTGGTTGGTAGGCAACTTAACAGCCTTAGCCTACCTAATTCTCCTGCCTCCAGGAACTTTGTCTTTTGGGGACTGTCCTCTCCGAAGATGGATTTTTTTTTCTGCATAACAGTGGTCAGCACAGGTCCAGGAGTCTCTGAGGATTTCTACAGTGTAAAATTCCACAAACCAGCATAGTGTAGTTATTCCAGTGGCAGCTCTGAAAACCAGTAAGGGAGAACAAAATGAAGGAGGATCAGGGTCCTGGAAGGCAGTACCAGGCTCCTTGATGTCCTATAGGATTCTTGCAAGAACCCTAACAGACAAATACTCATCCTTATCTTCTTATTTTTTAATTTGATTTTTAAAGATTTACATAAAGTTGAGCAGAAAATAGAGAAATCTCCAATATCTGCTCCTTCCTTCCACCGTCATTAACATTTTATCTTAATATATGTGTGATAATTAGTGAGGCTAGTATTGGTATTCCATAAACTGAAGGCAAAAGTCTACATTCCAGTTTACTCTTGTGTTCTACTGGTTTTGACAAATGCACATGTAAAGGCATGGATATATGGATTCACCAGACCAGTAAATTTAAGTGGAGTTTGTTAGTAAATAACTCACATGGAAAGCAATTAGTAACTGCTACAGCATTCCTACTCTGAGAAGACAGACCTTGCTCCCTGATGCTCTCCAAGACCAGAAGGGGCTTCCAACCCAAACTCTACTCCTTGCCCCCGAGGGGTTGGGGGATCAGTGCTACTGGTGTGGAGGCAGATCTATCACTACACACATGAACTTGTGCCATCCCCTGGGATAGAACCAGCTTTGGTCAACCTGAGACACTGATTAGTGACTGCAGGTCGTTATCTCTTAATGCACTGGACACTACTCTTACCTGCTTCCATGATGCTATGGTCTGACAAGCTGTATAGCCTTTCCAAGATGGATGAGACATGACTGGTTACATGCAAATAGTGTATTCAGCTCTACAGAGGCCCTGGTAAGAGGAATTGCTGTATAGAAAGTGGCTGGAGTTTAGAGTGTGCAATTAGCAGGTTCCTTTCCTCACCAGCTTGGGGTTATCACCTGGCTCAGGTAATTCTTTACACTGGAACTCTGTAGTGACAGGGGCAAGGCCCATCATCTAAGGCCCTTGGAGTTAGTGGAGTAGGTCTCTTAACTCTGATTGCACAAGTGTGTCCCTGGAGCTTCAAATCAGGCATTGGATTTCAGGGTGACATCATTTTCTATGCTATGTAGGGTTCCAGTTGTAGGTTCTAGTTGCATAGAAAGGCCTGCTCAGTTGTAGGACTGTTCGGCACTGATCTTAGTCCTTTTTCTGATCTGCAGTCCCTTCACCTTTTCCCAGCTCTCTTTAGTGGCCTTAACCCACAGTTGGTGCTAGCTCTTCTTCTATCCTGAAGATTTATACCTTTGTCCTTCTCCTGCTCTCAGTGTGGTCACCATCCAATAAACTAAACTTCTAGGTCTCTCCTGGTGGAGAGGGGCATCCTACAATCCCCTCCATCCCCACCAGTCACCTGAAATTCCTCCTGTGCCACTCCCTGACAAATGTTAGGATATCTATATGACTGTTCATAGAAGGAAGACACTGGAGGAATAACCCTCCTTTATTTTGAGCTCCCAGATGGTTATTTCGTGTTTCTGTGGGAGGGATATTTGGAGACCATTTGAGTTATCAAACCTAGGAGTGGGAGGGGAGATACTATTTTTTTAAACTTTTGTTTATTTTATGTATATGAGTGCTTTGTTTTCATCCATACCAGAGGATGGCGCCAGATCTCATTACAGATGGTTGTGAGCCACCATGTGGTTGCTGGGAATTGAACTCAGGACCCCTGGAAGAGCAATCAGTCAATGCTCTTAACCGCTGAGCCATCTCTCCAGAGGGAGATACTATTGATACATAGAATGGGCACCAAGATTGAATGATGCTAGAGTCCCACACTGCCCAAGATAGGTTCCACTGTAAAGAAGCCTCAGACTTAGCTTCAAGATGATAAAGGATGTATTAGACACAGAGATCACAGGTCCCTTGGAAATGTGGCCTGGGGATTGCACACTGAGGCCTTTCTGTGGGCTGGATGCTCCATCGCCTAACCTCGCAGAAGCTGCCGACTCTTACTAATGGCAGAGTATCTCCACCAAGGCAAATTTTGAGTTCCGGGAGGGGTAAGAGAGGGTGCCAGGAAGTCCACACCGCTGGTGAGGTGTGAGGGTCACTCGACAATGAACCTCTACTTCATTTAAGGCCACTCAGGCTGTTTCAAGGATGGAGGCTAGCTTCTGGCAGGAGCTCGGCTTGCTTCAATCGATAAACACTCCAAGTCTCATGTTTCTTTACTTTATGCAGCCCGGTACAGTTCCCATAGGCCTCAAACTCTGGCATCTCCATCCCCACAGCTTCTGCACTCCAACCCTAGTCCTCCTCCGGGATCTTATTCGGGTCTTTCGCACGCACTCCTCTCTGCAGTGTCTTCGTTTGCCTCACCCCGAGCTACACTTTCCCGTGTCCTGTGCCGCGAGATGCTGACCACTGGGTATGATACCAGGGCGTTCCAGGCCAGAGCTGGCAGGACGCAGATCTCTGAGCTGGCACAGGGCGGGTCTGCTGGCCGCGGCCGAAGGCCAGGCAGGGGCGGAGCTCGGGCAGGGGCGGGACAGCTTTATGGTTCCGCCCCCCAGCTGAGCCAGACCCTGGTCCTGCAACTTGCCAGCTCAGAGGTTCTAGCAGCAGCCGGCTCGCTTCCCTGGTTGCAGCTTGGGAGGCTCGGGCGGCTCCTGTGGTGGGCGGCCAGGGGAGAGCCGGGATGGGCTGCGGACGCGCGACGTGATCAGCTCGTAAACGGAACCACGCTGCCGGCCGCAGTGGCTCAAGAGTCTACTATTCCGGGGCGAGCGCGCTCGGGACGCAGACTCGGCCGGAGCATGCGGGGTGCGGCGTGGGCGGCCCGGAGGCGCGCGGGGCAGCAGTGGCCTCGGTCCCCGGGCCCTGGGCCCGGCCCGCCCCCGCTGCTGCCGCCGCTGCTGCTGCTGCTGCTACTGCTGCTGGGAGGCGCGAGCGCGCAGTACTCCAGTGACCTGTGCAGCTGGAAGGGGAGGTGAGTCTTGCGGGCGATTCTAGCGTGGACCGCCTGGACCCGGCCCAGAGCCCTCCGCTGAGAGATGCAGAGTTGGTGGCGGCGGCGGGGTAGGGTCCGCGATGCTGGCCAAGTTTGGTGACCCCCCGCCCTAGCTCTGGTTTCTGAACAAAAGAGTTGGCAGTGTCTGGGTCGGTCTCGGAAGACGCCCACTCTCCGCGCGCGTATCTCTGCCCTAATGAGTTTCCTGAGCTCGACCGGCTCCGGGTTCGGTGCTCCAACGGTTGGGATTTCTGACCCCTGAGGAAGGTTTGGTCTTGAGCACATCCAGAGGGACAGCTGTGGCGCGGAGAGCGCGGAGTCCAAACGCGACCGGTATCGACTGCAGCACTAGTCGCGCCTGTGGGCAGTGAGACTGGATCGACACCTGTCCGCGGCCAAATGCAGTAGGATAGAGCCCCGCGCCCTCTCGGTGAAGGTCAAGCCGCCCTTGGCAGCCAGGCGCGGGGTTGCCGTGGCACCCTGCCCCCTTCGGTCCCCATCAGCGGTGACAGCCCAGGACTTTTTGTTGTTGTTTTAATTGAAGTGTGACGTGTGGAAAAGAGCGCAAGTCACAAGTGTGCGCGGGCGGGGTGCCTGAGGAGTTGTAGCTGCTTTGGACACTGAGGGCGCGTCAGGCACAGCGGCCGGCCCCCTCTTTGCAGAGCCAGTTTTATACACTGCAAGTTGCCAATTCAGCGATTTGCTTAGCGCGCTGCGCAGATGCGGGTCTCCGCTGAAAACGTGGGCTGGGGCGGCGGTGGGGGTCTGGTGTGGCTCATCCCATGGGCAGGGCGCCTGCGCAGGCCTGTGAGGGTACGCGATCTGGTCTCATGCGGGCAGTGATGGGTGATTTTGGTGAAGAGGGTTTTCTGTGAAGGCTGGATGTTGAATGACGCCCAGGCTCTGCGTAAGCAGGGCACCAATAGTTATACACTTACAGTGCCTAACTTTCTGAAGGAACCACGGAGACCACAATCAACCCTCATAATGACCCCTGCTGGAGTGCTTGGACTGGAAGACTGAACGCTGCCTCCTGAATGCTCCCGCACCTCCTTTCAGGGAGTTTTAGCTCTCTATCTCTAGTAGAAATCCCTTCTGTCCGGCAATAGCGGGGAGTCAGTAGACCAGGGCAGATGGGATCTGGGGGAGGACTGGCTTTGGGAATGCTGGCGCCGTCAGAGAGCTGGCCGTGAGCCTGTGATGTTGAGCTCTTATGGGGCTGCCCTTTTCCCGATGGTAATTAGCTCTCTGCTCACAGACTGCACTGCTGAATCAGTGTACTCCAGCCTCGGGTCTTGGGGTGCCCTGTTACAGCAGACCAAAACCAGAAACCGAACTCTTGCCGTTGAATGAGATTTCCAGACACTTGCTTTTCTTCCAGATTCCTTCCCCCAGCCCAGAGATCTGTGGTGAGGGGTGGCCTTCCCCTAGCTAGAGAAGGATTGAGTAGAGATAAACTAAAAGACACCTTATGTCTGTGGGTCCACTCTCACGTTGTTCCTTCCATTTAAGTGGACTCAGATGACCACCACGTGATGCATATGACTGCTTGGATGGCAGCACTCAGATTCATGTCTGGGCATTGTTAGCTGGCTATCTGTCCCCTTAGATTCCCTCTCTCTCCTGCCCACCTCCAGAGCCAGGCTGGGAAGTGTCCAGTAACTGGTCACACTTAGGCCTGCCTACTTGGGCCTCCTCCATCAACACAAACTCATTCCTATTCTGGGATTCGCTTGAGGCACAGTCTGGCAGAAGACAGCTGAAGGCACATGGAAGATATAGGTAGATAGGTGGGATTGGGAGAACACATAAAAGTCCCCTGTGTTAGAACCATTGCCCCTGCTTCACAGGTCAATTTACTATTGTCCAGCACGCTGGTGTGCTTGCCTGGCCACAGTGTTTATGACTTTTTGTTTCAAGCAATCTAGAACAAATCATTGGGTGGAGCAAGCCTCAAAATGTTGGATTCTGGCCTCTGATAAAAAAAGGGAGTTGCTCTCCATAGCACTGGCCACTCTGTTAAACTCATGTAGGCTCTACGTGTTTCCAAGTTAGAAATTTTGAAATCCCATTCTCTGTCCATGTTTATTAGAAAGTGTCATAAATGTGGACCATGAACTTTCCTGCTGTTACCAGCAGGCGCATGGCAGGTGTAATCACACCTGGGCTGTCTTGCAAGGTAGAAAATGAAAAGCAAAAACTTAGCAGCAGAGGCTTTAGATTTCACTTGGATCCCAAACCTTTCTAGAGGCCCTTGTCTTGTCCCAGTATGAGTAGTGTACCTGAATAAGCCCTGCTCACATCAGTGAGTCCTCATACCAATCTGGAATTTACACTTTGTCTCACAAGGCCACTCAAATATGTATGTTCATCTGGGTAGTGACTCTTGATGATTGAAAATAACAAAACAAACAAACATTGTGCCACTGATATGGTTTAATGGTATAGTGCTTATCCAGCATATGCAAGTGTGAAATACATTGTGTTTTTACTCAGGACACACACACACACACACACACACACACACCATTTGTTCAGTTTAATCTATGATGAACTCAGCCTTGTCTATTTTATGGTATAGACTAGGGTCAGTTCTGTCTGTACTGTAGCTTAACCATGGCAATGATTTGCTTTATTTTGTGTAGCTGGTGTATCATCTACATCTCATGAAGATGATGACGTTTTGTTGATTAATGGTCATTTAGGATATGCTTGAATTTATGGTGCTGGGTATTGAAAATGGAGATTTAGGGTACTAGGTTTCCAGTGGGAACCTGTATGTCTGGTCTTGATTGCTTTAAAGATCTTCTGTCTGGTCCTAGGCTGAGGGTCCCTTTACTTTAGTTCCTACTTCTAAATGTGAATTATGCATATTGCACTAGTTTTGGTATGACCTGATTTTTTTTCTTTTTTCTTTTTTTTTCCAAGACAGGGCTTCCCTGTGTAGCTTTGGAGTCTGTCCTGGAACTAGCTCTTGTAGACCAGGCTGGTCTTGAACTCACAGAGATCTGCCTGCCTCTGCCTCACAAATGCTGGAAGTAAAGGTGTGCACCACCACTGCCCAGTTTGACCTGAATATTTTAAGAGAGTGTAAGGGATATATGTGTCCTGGGATGGACACATAAACCTTCCCTTAGCTAGTGAGGCCTAAGTAGAGGTGAGCTAGCAGATTTCTTGTTTCCGTGGGTACCCTGCACTCATATTGTTCTTTCCAATTAGGTGGAATGCAATAGCCACCACATAATGCATGTGACTGATGGGATGGCAGCCCCTAACCTGGGCATTGTGGGCTGGCCCTTTGGGTTCCTTCTGCTCCTGCTTGTGTTGTGGATGGAGGATAGTCTTCCCCTTTATCTACCTCTGCTGCACTGAGGTTCAGTGGTCTGAGGCCCACAGAACCTCTGTGGTGAGGCCTCCACCCTCTTGAGCCTCAGGAAGCAAAACCTCAAGCTGGGTGCTTTGTATGGAAGAGAGTTGAGGTTTATGACCGGCCTGGTACAAGTGTCAGCTCCCCCTTGATGCTGGAGACATGAGAGAAAAAGACACAACAATTAGGTTTTAGCCATGTTTATCAGCTACTTGACATTTAGTCTAATCTTCAAATAGGCCCATTAGGCCTATAATTAGGCCCATTCCTACATAGGTGTCAGATGGCTTGTGTGAGTTTTATTGACTGTAATTTCTAAGTTTGTTCTATGTGTGTGTCTTGGGTAGTGCTGACTGTTGCCTGGCCCAGGGATTTGTTGGGGTGGGAAGCAGGTCAGGAGGGGTTCACCCACAATGCTTATCTCTGATGTGGTCTGTGGGGTGACTTACAGTCCTAGACTACTTCAGTCCTTGTATACAAAATGAGGTTTTGGGGGCCGGAAGCATGAGTCACTAGCAGTAAAGGTATGCCATGTGTTATACATTTTCTCTCTTGCAGAAAGGGTTTCTGGTAACTCACTTAGGCTAGTTTCTGGATACAACCTTTTTATTTTGCATAAAAATCCTAAGAATGTGGGTGAACCTGTCTTAGATGTGATCAGAACCAAATTCATGTAATAGAACTCTTAGCTGAAGTCACTGGTTTCTGTCCAAGACCACTTGTGGTTATGACATAACCTTAACAACAGGCTGACTTTTGCTTTTTAGTTTGAGCAGGAGAAACTACTGCATTTTCGGCAGCTTCGAAGTTTTGAAAACAATACTGCCTCCCAAGAGTGTAGCATACTACATGTCTCTTTTCATTTGTCACTTGTGAGGCCAAATTATTACTTTAGGGACCTTATTATTTTAGGAATCCCATCCAAAAGCCTTCTTGCCCTTAGACTTCTCCCTTCTCCTGCCCAAGGGGTGTTTCCTTTGCTTTTATACTGAATCCTGTTTTAATGGCCCTTGGGCTCATTTTTTTAAAAAATATGATTGGTGATATAAAACTTCAAGTTCAAAAATGAGTGAAAAAATGGTCATATCAGTGGCTTAAGGAAAATCAAAATTTCTTATTCCCTGTGGCTAAGTACTGCACTGGAAGTTGCTCCCTGGAATATGTTATTGTATATGTAGTACATCCATGACATCTTTACATGAAAGTTTTTTCCTTATCTTTCACTCCGTTGAGTGACCTGAAACCTTGACTAGTATAGTGGTCCTGCTGGGCTGCTTTTCTCCATGTCTTGGACTACCCAGAGTGTTCCTGCTGTAACTTTCTGGTACCATTTCCTTGACTAAGGAACCTACTAAGATTCTGGTGCCCTGAGGTGCAGCATGAAGATTATCTAGGGCCTGGGGAGCCTGCATGGCTTGTACCATCAGAGATTTGGTCTGGCTCAGACTGTCTCTTGGGGTAGGCCCACTGGAAGCTGAGAGTGGTGGGTACCTAGACATGTGTCAGGTGAATGTGAATGACTCCTGAATGAGGCTGTATGTGGGGTGAATGCATATGGGGATCTTTGCTCTGAGGTCTGCCTGACTGTGTCCCCTCTTCCCACAGTGGGCTGACCCGAGAGGCACACAGCAAGGAGGTGGAGCAGGTGTACCTGCGTTGCTCATCAGGCTCTGTGGAGTGGATGTACCCAACTGGGGCCCTCATTGTTAACCTGCGACCCAACACCTTCTCACATGCCAGGAACCTCACTGTGTGCATCAAGCCTTTCAGGGGCTCCTCTGGGGCCAATATTTATTTGGAAAAAACTGGAGAACTGAGACTGTTGGTACGGGACGTCAGTGGTGAACCTGGCCAGGTGCAGTGTTTCAGCCTAGAGCGGGGTGGCCTATTTGTAGAGGCAACACCCCAACAGGACATCAGCAGGAGGACCACAGGCTTCCAGTATGAGCTGATGAGTGGGCAGAGGGGACTGGACCTGCATGTGCTGTCTGGTGAGTACTCATGAAGGCCTAGCATGGGCTAGCTAACAGTTAATCCTGCTGCTCTTTCTCAGGGAACACTGGAAGTTCGAATAGTTACTCTGATTTTCTCTTACCCTATCCCTTGTTCACCTCTGTGAAACATTCCTGTGTCTGTGGCTTCAATGTGGTATGCTCATTCCATGAGCCCTTTGTCCTACCGAGGGACTGCAAGGTAAGAGGGTATTGGGTCTTAAAACTAATGCAGTCTTTTCAACCAAGATCTCCTTTAAGAAGACTTCTGATTGTGGTGTTCCTTTAGAACCCTGGAGTTTCTGACTTGGGGGAGTGAGATGGTGGGAGGCTGTGTTCCCCGGGAGTGGCTTATGGTCTGATCCCTAAAGGACTCTTTATAACTCATTTGAGATGGGGCTTCTACCGTTCCAGCTGTCCCACAAACTGGCTTGGGTTTTTAGTGTCTACCATGACCTTGAGATAGTTTTGGGTGGGGAGCAGAACAACATAAAGCTGTGGTATTCCAAGGCTTTTGTGAATGGATATTAGTCAGGATTAAGAAAATCACCATGTAAGGTCTCCAGGGAGAGCACAGCTGACCCAGTTCCATCTCCACAAGATAGAGTCAGGAACCTGATGGAGAGGCTTCTGCATGGAGATTCTGGCAAGTACCTAGGGTCTGAGATTGAGAGAGTTGTGTAGTTAGGTGCCTCCTTAGGGATTGTGGTAGGTAGACCTGAGAGGAGTTCCCCACTGGGACAGAGTAGCAGAAACCAATGCAGGGTCAGCTCTGGACAGTGATTGATGATGAGGCTCTGGTACACATTTCTTCAAGACGGTGAATGCCAGATGAGGTGACATGTGTGCCTGATAACTGAAAACTGTGGGCTTGCTTTGTTTTTTTGTTTTGTTTTGTTTTGACACAAGCAGATTTTTTTGGTGTGTGTGACAGGCAAATTGCCTTCAGGATTGTGTGGCTTTGTGGGTGGATGGTAGAGAGATGTCAGCGTCAGGACTCTACATTAGGGGAAGGCAGGTCTCACATGTTGTGCTGTGATCCATCAGGGTCTTATTTCTTTGGTCATAAACAAGGATGACTGATATATCCCAAGAGCTGCCCTCTCTCCTCTCTGTCCCTTACTGACTGCTGCTTCTGTGTCCATACTTCCAGGCTAAGGGAGGGAGACCCGTGGGGGTCAATTGAGTGGCCTCAGGTTCTCCTGGGGTTTCAGGAAGACAGTAGCCCTTAGCATGGGTATTTAGCTGTAGTCCTGAATTCAGTACTTTATGCACCTCTCAGGCCACAGGATCTCACATAACGCAGTGTACCAGGTAAAATGTCATGCCATCCCTGTGTCTAGGACTTTGCTGTGTTTGCGACTCAGGGTCCCCTCACTATCCTAAAACATACACCTGCTTGGTCCTGGATGTCTGAAATCAAACCTGCAGTGACTTTTCACACCTTGCTAGTGTCAGTCGCTATACAGTGACTATTAAAACTCAGAACAGGGACTCAGACTGAGGTGGCTTTGAGCTCTGGCCCAACCCTAGCATTGCTGAAAACAGTCATAGACATCTGTATTATTCAGAGCTGGGTGCCACCCTTCCTAGGGAGCATTAGTTAACTCAGAGTTGAGATGGTCTCAACCTGGACATTTGGCTTTCTTGGGGAATGAGGATCATGAGCTGTTAGTGCCTAAGGAATGGGTATATAATGTGAAATGTTGCCCTGCTCAGATTGGGCCAGCTCCCAAGGTCTCTATGGCTAGTGGCAGGCTTTTTCTCTTCTCCTGCTCTGGCCTTGTGCAGGTTCAGAAATAAGATGTAAGCCAGAGTTAAGGCAGTATCAGCCAGAGAAGGAAGAATGCACCTGACCTGGTTATGCCAGAGGCAGACAAGCTCTTAGATGAATCAATTCTCATTTGTGCTGACTCAAGAGAACGCTGGTGCCGCGGGTTGGAACTCAGACAAGAGTGCGTGAGAGAACGTGTGAGTATGAATCTGGTGGAAACATGCACATGTGCATGTGAGTCTTGCTCCCCACCCAGAAAGGAGGGAACCTGCCACTGCTCTTGGAGAGTTCCATCGGAGTGTTTGCAGTATTAGCTTAATGTCCACTAGGATCGTATATTTCACTTGTGAGCTGCATCAAAACAGAAAAGGCCAGAACAGTGGGATATGGTGTTGTTCCATGGGCATAGATAGGTCATATGAGAGGTGACCCCAGCATCTGCGATGCTGGATTTGGCTGCTTGCCCTGCATCTGTTGCCCCTGTGGCCTTGCTCAGGATATCTGGACATTGGCACTACCTCTGACCCTTAGAGAAATCTGACAGAATTCTAAAGGCAGTACATCTGACTAAAGATAAAACTACAATTGGAGGCTGACCTCCCTTGGCTCAACTATGTGGGAGAAATGATTGCGGGGTGACCAACAAGGGGGAGGTTCTGTCTGGTCCAGGAAACAGGTACAGATTGGGTAGGTTCTGGTTCCATTCCATCCTGGTGGGCTTATAACTTTTGCCATTGCTGTGGAACTCTAGGAGAGGCCAACGAGGGGGTTGTTGGCAATACTGGCATCCCAGACACATAGCTGAAGAGGTGGACAGCCGGACACTTTTTTTTCGAGACAGGGTTTCTCTGTGGCTTTGGAGGCTGTCCTGAAACTAGCTCTTGTAGACCAGACTGGTCTCAAACTCACAGAGATGTACCTTTCTCTGCCTCCCGATTGCTGGAACTAAAGGCATGTGCCACCACCGCCTGACTGACAGCAGGACACTTTTCATTCCCATCACTGTTACTGGCTCATAGAGCTCAAACTTACAGGGTGTAGCTGGTGGCTTCTAAGTGTGTCTTCTTGTTCTTTCTAAATCCTGATTTGCTTGTGGCTAGTAGGCTTGAGAAGCTATATGGAGCCCCGCTGCCCAGGTTCCTTTGGTAGACTCAGAGTTCCGGCATTTCCCTGATGGTGTGAGGGTTGATGACCATGTCTTTTTTGTTCGTTTGTTTGTTTTGTTGAGACAGGGTCTCCCTATATGTAGCTTTGACTGTCCTGGAACTCACTATGTAGAACAGGCTGGCCTTGAACTCACAGAGATCTACCTGCCTCTGCCTTTGTAGTGCTGGGATTAAAGATGTGCACCACCATGCTCATCAGTGGCCATGTCTTGAAGTGGGAAGAAACATTGTGTCCTGGAAGCTGAAGAACAAAGGGTGTGATATTTGGAGCTATGCATCCTCTGGTCTGTTCCTGTCTTGGTGGTTTCTCAGGCCACAATAATTACCTTGTAATTATCTTTGTCATAACCCTCTCCCAACCTTGGGTAAAGAAGGGTGTGTCTACACTGACTTCCTTGCTAGGATGAAGGGTTCAGAGAATCCCCTGGGTCATCATCCTTCTGATGGAACCTGGTAGTGGTGATCATTGAGGAAGCCTAGCCCTCAGCTCCTAGTCCAGCTTCTCTGTTCCTGTTAAATCATTGTACCCACCATCTGTCACAGAGTGTACTAGGGACCTTAAAGGGCTTTGGTGTGTAAGATTTTCTCTTTGGGACTGTGTGTGTCGTCCTGGCTATCCTCGTTAGGTAGTATTGCCCACACACAAGTTGGTCTGGCTTACCAGGTCTGCAGACCCTCCTAGCATCCAGCAATTCTTGCCTGTGTTTGCTTTTCCTTCCTTTAGGCAACTGTGCCCAGATTGAGCCCTCACCTGACTCTTCAGGTGTCCTCAGGAGGCTTCCTTAGATTCTGTTTTCTTTATCCTCATTTGATTTCTTTTATGCACTCTCCTGCCTGGTTTCCAAAGTGGCTCCCAGGAAATGTGATGCCAGCATCTGTGACCAGCACATTTTACAACTGGTATGAACTTGAATGTCTGATAATTCTTCCTAGATTGAGGTCCTTATTATCACATTGAGTTTCTGCAAAAGTGAAGCTCAGAATTAGAACAGGGATGCCTCCGGTGGGTTGCTAGCTCATGGCACCGACTCATTGAGGCTTGCACAGGTCTGTGGGCTGACTAGCCTGACAAAGGAGCATATCCAGCAGGTAGCTGTGTGCCAGGGCAAGCACAACTGAAGCAGGTGGTCTTTCCATGTTCTCTGCTTGTATTACCTGAGGTCCCAGAACACATGATTCACAGAGAGGGCAAAACTCATGGACATGTTTCAGGCTACATTCCCAGGCCTGGGATCCCTGCCCCTCAGCTCCTCTCCACTGTAAGTTGCTGCCCTGGTTCAACTCTCAGCTCTGAGGTGCTTTAGGGTAGCTTCTGGGGACTTTTGTCTCCAACTCTCAACACTGTGTGGCCTGACCCTCAACCCTTTCCCTAGCTTCTGCTGCCCTCCATCCTGAAGGGATCCTCAGATGGGCTGTGGTCGCCAGGGTCGATACCTGCCTGTAGGCACTGGTCAGGTGCCAACCAGGGTGGACTTCCTAGAGTACTGTGCTGTAAATCTAATGTTGCCTAGAATGTTAGGCTCTGAGGTCTCCTGTACTGCAGGAGTACTCCTGTACTCAGACCCTGTCTGTTCTGGATCAGAGCAACCCATGTCTGCCCACAGCCAGTATGAGCCACTGGTTCCTAGTCAGTGTGAGGATGACCAGTATGCTACAGAAGCCACACACCTTGTCAGCTTCAGAGTTGATCATCAGGTGACTCCCAGTGCTGGGGGCTGTGATGACCCAAGCAAATATGACAGGAAGGAAAGAAGTGGCAGGCCCACCAGGGTTAAGGGGGGACATCCAAGGGACCAGGAAGCTGCAGCTTCCAGGAGTCTGGCTGCATCCAGGTCTCCCCAGTAGAAGTCTCTGGGCTGTAAGGCTGGCATGGGGGTGGGAGTGCTTGATTTTCTGATGGGCTTTGCTGATGCCAACAGGTTGTACTTGTTCTGCAGCTTCTCCCTTTTCTGATAGCTAAATAGAAGCAAAGTGCTGGCAGGTGAGTGGGTGGGTGAGTCAGCATTGCTGAGGCTGGGAGGCACTCCACCCCCTTTCTGGGGTAGGACCAAAGGATAGGGCCCCAGACACACCCAGCCCAAGGGTCCACTGAGAGCTGTGCTTGACTGGGACACTGTAAACCCTAAGGCTTTGTCTGAAGCTCACTCTTTTAGGACCTCATAAAGTTTCTCTGAACTTCTGTTGGCTTGGAAACACTTGGCCTGCTTGCCCTTCGCCCACATGAGTGTTGTCTTGATTCCCCTGGGGCCAAGTTACCAGCATTCAGGGTCAGGTTGTGTGGCCTCCAGGCATGTGGGTAGCATGAGTTTCTTCAGGACCAAGCTAACCCCCGAAACAAGGGCTGCCTCCAAGCCTTTGCAAGGGATTGGCCCTAGCAAAGTTTATCTACTGAGATTTTATACCTCAGGGTTTCTGTTTATTTGGAGAACTTGGCCCCAATAAGGAAACTGAGGACAAAGCCTTGAGACATTAATTCACAGCAAATAACAAGCTTCCATCTTCCTGAATCCACTCTGAGTGGTCTGTGGAAAAGCTGCTGAGCCAGTTTCTGTTCCACACCAGGGAAGTGGGACAAAGGGCAGGAGAGGGCTATCTCTGGAGAAGTAGGTTGTATAAGTGGTTGACCAGTGGGGTAGCTCATTCTAAGAGTCCTGTGAGTAGGACTCAATTCAATGGCTATCATAGTATATAACTAGAGTAGGCCTAGAGTAGGGGCTAAACTGATGGCCCTAGTCCAAGACCCTGTATCCACAGCAGACAGATTTCCCCACTCACTTCCCACTTACCCTTACTTCAGTTAACACTCTCTGCAGACTTGTAGCCTTGGTTCTTGTAGGAAATGCCTGGGGCAGATGGTCTGAGGGAGATTCTCCACTGGGGCTATGATTGGGAAGCAGACATCGTGCTGCAGTAGAGAGTCTGCTTTCCAGTGAGATGACCGTGTCATTTTAGGATGTGGGTGTAGAACCTGGGGGAAGGTGTTTTGGTAGGGTGGTATAGACACATGGTTTCAGTTCATCTTAGGGATGTTTTGCATTGTGGCAGGCATTTGATAACAGTTTTGTTGTTGTTGTTTTGTTTTCAAATGAGTATAGTTGTTGCTTTTTTGGAGTTACACTAACAAGGTAAACAGTGTCATGGAACTCCTTTGTCTGGGCTCATGTTATTGTGGCTACAGTATGAGCCAGGATGGCCAAGTGGTCTGGCTTGACAGAGGTTGGTCTGCCTCCTGCTTTGCTGTTCACCTCCATGGTAGAGTTGGAGTTGGCCAGAGGTCTCACCTTGACTTGGTGTTGTGTCCCCAAATGTAGGGCAGGGAGGCAGGCCTTTTATATTCTGCAGTGTCAGGGCTGGGGAGGGTCTGTGACTAACCAGTGTTGTCTGGGCTGTATCATCCACCCTGTTCTTTTCCTCTCCAGCCCCATGTCGACCTTGCAGTGACACTGAAGTCCTCCTTGCCATCTGCACCAGTGACTTTGGTAAGTCTGTCCCGTGGTTGTCTTTCCAGGGTCTGACGGTTTTCCCAAGTCAACATAAATTTCTTTTATATGTGTGTGTGTGTTGGGGGGTGGGCAGGGCTGAAGCTGCTCAACCTGACTTCACCCTGGAATCACAGGGTACAATGCGCTGTATGCACTAAGGTAAGTCTGCACACCACACATGCAGGCAGAGTTGGGGTTTGCATTCTAGGTGTTTCATAATCATGTGAAGATGAAGTCACTAGGGTGGGCCCTAAATCAGTGTCACTTGTTCTCACTGTGCACAGCAGCTCGCAAACTCCTGGGGACTCTGGAAGTCCTTAAGTTCCCAGTAACTTTTTAGAAGTTCTCTGGGAACATAGTTCAGAGGGCAGCCTGGTGTGTCCCTGCACCAGCCCCAGCTCAGAGCTCTGCCTATTCTTCATCCAGGTGGTTGGAGGTTTGGAAGCCTTTTTGGAGTCAGGGTTAGTTTGCACAGTGCTCTTCTTGGTCATAGACCAGGGGCAGTCCTTGCTGAACTGCAGCCATAATAGTGGCCATATTAAGCTGGGGCCCAGCTGGCCCTCCTCAAACCCTCATCCAAAAGCTGAGAACTATCACTTGGTAGGATCTTGACTCCTTGTTGCTCTACTCTCTATGGCCCTAACCATTCCCTGTCCCCTTCCCTGACATCATTCTTGTCCTTTGAGCTGTGCTGTGAAGCCTGATAGGAGGCAGAACTGCAGAGCATTTTGCCTGTGTTTTTGTTCTTACCTGAAGAGCATGTGCTGGGTAGCTGATGCTCAGTGGAATACCTTTGTCTGACACTGTCAATATCATGGACTGCTACTCATCATTGAGCATTCTAAAGGCTAGTAGGTGACAGAGTGAGTTCAGGTTCAGTCTTTGATAGGCAAGGATGTGCCCAGAGTGACATGTTCTATATGTGCCTGCCATCGTTGACAGGGTCCATTAGATCTGCTGACTTTAGTCTCCTTCCTCTGCAGTTGTCCGAGGTTTCATCCAGGATGTCACCCATGTACCAGAGCAGCAAGCATCAGTCATCTACCTGCGGGTGAGCAGGCTCCACCGTCAGAAGAGCAGGGTCTTCCATCCAGCTCCTGAGGGCAGCGGCCACTGGCTGGGCCATGTCACAACACTGCTGGAGTGTGGTGTACGGCCAGGACATGGGGAATTCCTCTTCACTGGACATGTGCACTTTGGGGAGGCACAGCTTGGATGTGCCCCACGTTTTAGTGACTTTCAAAGGATGTACAGGAATGCAGAAGAGAGGGGCATAAACCCTTGTGAGATCAATATGGAGTGACCTGCAGGGTGACATGGTACTGTTCTTCAAATGAGCCACGATTTGAGTCCTGAGTTGCTCTATCAAATCCTGATAGAGGCTGCCGGGTGGAGGCACAGGTCCAGCCTGGTGCTTGAACTGGGAAGGTACATGCTGCTCTGACCCATTAGGTCTCAGCCAAGAATGCCCTGACCCATTGGAAATTCTGTAAAATGCAAACTAAGTTATTATATTTTTTGTAAAAAAGAAATGTCCATAGGAAACAAACTCTTGTGTCTGAGGATATCTTTGGTGTACCATTTAGTAGTGTTTTTAGAAAACTGACTTTAGCCATTGCATTTGGTCTGATATATTGGTGGGAGACAGGCTATGGTGCACAGTGGTGGCTGTGAGGCTTCCATGGTTATCACTCAACCTTATTATTCTTGTGATAGAAATGTATGGAACAAATACTTTTTTTATTTTTCCATTCATTTTATTTCCGACTTTTAAAGGCCATCTATACCGTTGGGAACCTTCCCAGACTGTATGCTTCTTCCATTCCAGAGAGGAAACCATTAGACCCATCTTAACCTATCATATGGGTGCCTGCATTGAACCTTCTCTGCTCATCTGTGGTACTGCTGTCCCCAGACCTCTTGCTCACAGGACAATTCTAGATGGTGTTGCCTAGCTTTAGGCATGTGCTCCTTCCCTGCTCTTACCAGGCCACTCCTGCCTTCTGCATCTGTCTACACCTTTTCCACTGAGTCAGTGCTTGTCCTTTGACCACAAGTTTCCCCAAATATACACTACAAATCACTGGACACCAATGGGCTAGCCTACTTAATGACACCATTTGTTCAGAGGCTTAAATAGAAGGCTTTAATTCATACAGTTCTGGAAACCAGAATGGGTATGAGCAGGACCACATTTCCTCTAGAGACTCCAGGAGGGACATTTTAGCTTCTGGTGACTCCAGGCATCCTCAGCCTGTGACCATCTTACTCTGGTGTTGTTTCCCTGCCACGTGACTTCTGCTTTGTATGTGCTGGGTCAAATTTCTGTCTTAGGAAGACACAGATCACTGATTTAGGGCCCACCCTGATGAACTCATCTTCACATGATTATGATTCCACTTCCAACTAGGTCACAGCCAAAAGTTACAATAAATACCACATCTGGAGAAAGAATATTTATTCTGGGGGCTGGAAAGATACTCAATGGTTAAGAGTGCTTACTACTTTTAAAAATGACCTCAGTTTGGTTCCCAGCATTCATGTTAGGTGACTTGTAATTGTCTATAACACCAACTCCAGGTGACCTAGCAACCTCTTCTGCCTCCACAGGCACTTGCACACACACACACACACACTTTTAAAAGAAACAAAAAGAGAATATTCACTCCATTATAGGGAGTTGGATGTGGGCTGCATCTCATTTCTGTGTTCCAGCTCACAGGTCCTGTCCTGCTAGCATCCTGCCTGGAACCTCATCAGTTCTTGGAGTTGCTGCCTCCTGTGCAAGTTTTGAAAACTTTGTGTCCCTCTCCCCCTCCAGCTATAGGCTTCCTGGGTAAACAGACTCAATTGTTTTATTTATTCACCAGGTACTTCTTCCCACACAGCTTCTGCTGCAAGACTAAGGAGAGACTGATACGGCCAATGAGCACCAGGCTGGGGTGCTAGTTTAGGTGTGCACCACTCTAGTGTGTGTCCATGGATGAGGATGTGAAGCAGCAGTTGGTGATGGGCTGGGCCCTACTGGGACTGGTGATTATGGTACCTTGTGTTAGCAGGACTAGGTCACACAGATGCCATGCCCAGTTGAGCCCCTCCTAGTTCCTCCTCTCAGCCTACAGGAAGCTGCAGAACAGGAATGGTGTGCTGGCCACCACCTGTCTCTACAGAAGATTGGGGTCAGCCTTACCAGATTAAGGTGAATGGCATACTCATAGGAGCGCTCAACTTTTGACACACCTGGGAGTGAGGCTACTTGCACAAGATGAGAGACAGCTGGGCTTCCCAACAGGTGAAAAAAAAAAGTTCTCTGTGATAGAGCCTTGGCTGGAGCTGGCAGGGCCCAAGAGACTGGGAGGTGCTGACATCATTTGTAGACAACTCCTTACATTTAACATTTATGTCTAGGTGGATACCTGGTTCCGTGTGGGAGTGTCCTTTTCCATGGCCTATGCTGCTTGGTCCTGGGACAGAAGCAGAGTTGGGGAAGGGCCGTGGTACTGGATGGGAGCCATGGTGCTAGGTGAAGATGCCTCTTCAGAGAACCATAAAGCCCACACAGCCTTAGCATGTGCCACGAAGTTGTGGGAGCTACTCTGTGACTTTGTCCAGAGCTTGAAGGGGAGCTATGTAGGAGCCTCAAGTCCTGGCCCACTTATGTCCCAAATTTCACCTTTCTTACCAAAATCCACATACTTTTTTGTCTTGTCTCCTCTACACTGCCTCCACCCCTTCCCACACTGCCCTGCTCCTCAATTCTTCCCTCCTCTGACACAGTCCAACCTTTGTTCCCACAATCTCCTACTGCCATACCGCCCCCTTACCCTGAACTGCCCCCTCGTACCTTATCCTTCATTTCCCTTCCTCCTCATCCCTTGTTCTAGTCCCATACACAGCCCCCAGCTGTTCCCTCCCCCTGAACAGGTTTCTCTCTCTTTGCCCCTTTATCGTGTTCCCTTCATTTGCACTGTTTCCTAACCCTGCACTGCCCCACCTCCCTCAGTGTCCTGTTTCCCTGCACCGTCCCTTCTGTTTTACCATTCCGCCTCTGCTCCGTTTCCTTCCCCCTATGCTGTCCTCTCCTTCTGCATCACCCTCTCTCCTGCATTTCTCCTCCTTCCCACTGACCCGCTCCCTTGCCCTTTCTACCTGGACTGTCTCTGCCCCTTGCTTTCACTGTCCCCTCTACTATACTGTCCACACTCCCCCAGTGCTGCCTACTCTCCTGCGCTGTCCCCTGTCCCATTACTGCCTGTCCCTGCTCTCTGTTCTGTTGCCTTATGTTATGCCCTGCTGTAGGTACCAAGCCCAGACCCCATGATTCTTCTACTTCCTTTTCTCTTAAACATGTGGATCGGAACTCATTGCTGGCTGCATCTCCTGTCTGTGTCCCAGCTCACAGGCCCTGTTCTCGAACTTGCTGCCTTCTGGTTAAGTTCTGAAACTCCGTGGACCTTTCTGGTTCCTCAGGCATGCTGGAATTTGGGAGACTATGACTTGTCATTTTCAGGATATTGGGACAATCTCCTGTGCATGGAGAGCCCATTCCCTCCCCAGTCCTACCTACTGGGGCTTCATGTTACAGATAGGAAGTGGGAACGTCTATGGATGCTTGTTAGGCCTCCTCCTATTGGATGAATGCCCCAAGAAGCTTGGTGGTGAATATCTACTTCTCCTTGACAGACAGGCAAACCCTGCCCTTGCATTGACCCCAATCTCTGTACTCCACAGCCCCACCCAAACCCCACCCCACCCTACTCTGGCTAGTCCCTGATATATCCTGGACCTCATTTTCTGCTTTGTGGTACCGGTTTAGGATTCTGAATAGTCTGGGCAGTGGTGGCACATGTCTTTAATCCCAGAACTCTTGAGTTCAAGGCCAGCCTGTTCTATAAAATGAGTTAAATAGGTTACCCAGGGCTGTTACACAGACAAACCCTGTCTCGAAAAAAAAAAAAAAGATTCTGAATGTGACATGCCACAGGAGTACAAGGAGTTCTACCCTGTGGAATACTAGGATGAGGGTAATATCAAGCTGTTTGTGTGGGTGCCCCTGTCATGCTCAGGTGGTTCCACACTGATACAGTTGCAAGATAGCAAGACCTACAGGTGGGTGAGCTGACTTCAATAGCACCTGCCTGGGAGCATATCAGCAGCTTTTCCAAGAAAACATACATCCTTTGGTTGGTAATCTCATTTTTATTTTCAGGAAACAAGGCCCAATGTGATGCCTCTACGGTAGAGACAAGGAATGGGAACCTAGAGCCACACACTAACAGATCTGCCTGCAGGTTACCTGCTGTGGTCACACTGATGCTGCCTTTACCAGACAGGCAGACCTGACTTCTGCCATCGGTGCTTCTCCCCTACTCCAGTACTCTAACTTCTAGAGGTTTCCACAGTCTTCCAGAGCTGCAAAGGCTTGCCTTTGGCCTCCAGCTTTCTCCTGCCAGCCTTGCCACCTGGATTTAAACCCAGACTCCTGCAGTTACGTTGTGCTGTAAATACCCAATAACTTGAGTCGTTCTTGACCCATAATCAATGACTCCTACTTCTGGAAGGCTCTGAGCATTCAGGGTCAGAGCAGAGACTCTGAATGGGTGTCTGGAATGTGTGGTAGGCATTTCCCACCCACAGTCTCTTAGTGGGACCATGCTGTCTTTACTCAGTTAAACCTTCCCCTAACACCAGATTTTAAAGGATTTCCAATGATTATAAAATTAATGCTATTAAACTAAAACAATTTTTTAAATATTGAAAATAGTGGAGAAGGAGAAACAAATGCTTCCATGTAGCACGTTCATGCCAGGGTCTTTCTAATGATGACACTCAAATCCCTACAGCTAGTCTATGCCTAACCTGTGGTCACTGGCTTTGACATCCCCTAACCATCTGCTTATGGGCTTTTTCAGGAACACAGACAGACATGAAGTGGTCAGGGAAAGAGCACACAGGCCTTCTTTAGATTTCTAGTGATTCCTCTACTTTCTAATCTGAGATCAGCAAAAGTTTCCAAATAGCAATTCCTCTTTCTTTTTTTTTCATAACAGTTGTGTTTCCACCTCTATGCTGAATCTTGTCCTCCATTTACATGGTCCTGGAGTCCTGTCCTGATTCTGGGGCCTGGCATGAAAAGGGCAGTTAGAGCTGCCCATGAGGAAGGGGATTATCCTTGATCCTCCAGTGATCTTAGTGCACGCACAGAGCCCTGTAAAGTGGAAGACAGAGGAGGAAAGTTGTGAGCCTAGGAGTATAGGTACTTCCAGAAGCCAGAACAGGTAAAGAACCAGGATCCAGGAACCAAGTCTGTAATACCTTGAGTTCAGGCTACTGTGACTTTGTTCAGACTTCTGACTCCTAGAGACCCATGTGTAAAGAGAAGCCTTCCTGCCAGCCTGGTTCCAGAGCTGCATCAGTCCCAAATAAACACACAGGAGGCTATATTAATTATGAAGCTGTTGGCCTTGCTTGTTTCTTACTGGCTAGCTCTGACTTAAGTAATTATCCCATAATGGTTAATCTAAGTATTTCTCTTACCGGAGAAGTTTC